TCTTATATTTTTCCTGGCCCAGACTTGGGATCAACATTTCTCTAAGGAGCTCTCATTCAGGTTTTCTCAGTGCACAATGCTAAACAAAAATGTATATACACACATCTATGTTTTACATTTAAATTTACTTTTATATCTGGATATATTGAAAATCACATTTTCATACCAGTTGCTCCAATATCAATCCAACCCTGTAAAGTACATTCAAGTTTTCCCCATTTTCAGAACCCAAAGGGTTAGAGAAGTTCATACATTGAGTTTCAATGTAGGAAGAGGGCTTATTGAAATGTTTCTAACCCTGATTCTCATCCACTGGAAAAATTTTTTCTTTCCTTAAGGCCTTCAGTTATTTCAAATTCACACAATTCCATTTTTGCTGGAATTTTTGTTTCACCAATATAGGTATGGAAACCTGAGTTCTTAACACCATTAGGATCACCTACAAGATGTTAAAAGGAGACTTTGTGTTAAATCCAAATTATATTACATTCTATTCAGTGCATGAAAAGCACAAATATAATGTGAAAAACTCCCAAATTTTGCAAATTGGAGTAGATTTTCTTCCAAAATAATTGATTACCCTTTGGCAGGTTTAATGGTGGGTGGGGGGTGTTACTTCTCAAGTGCTCATTTAAACTAGTTAGTCTTGTTTGCAGACAGGCAATTATAGTTAAAATATGTCTGGAAGGCAGCTCTAAGACTGTTCCTTAGGACACTACTCTATTGTGCTTACTTATATTAATCATAAAATGTCTGGAGCACCTAACATCGTGGTTGTATTTGATTGGCCTACTTAGAGAGCAAGGCACTTGACAAATACCAGATTACTATATTTCCATTTTACCAGTAAGGAAACTGGGGTTCAAATAATTTTGGCAATTTGCTGAATTGGGCAGAGAAAGTGATCAAGGTAGGACTTGAATCCTAGCAGCCTGGCTCCACTGGCCCATGCTCAGTCATCACACTAAGCTGCCTACAACAAAGCTTTTAGGGAAAAATTTTGGAAGATTAAATCGTCTGAAAAAATGACATTCTGCATTATAATAGGTATGTCTTCATTGTCAAATGAAGCAGTTAAAATTACCTAGGGAATTTTGGGGAAAAAAAATTTTCCCTGATCCCTTAGATCAAGCTTGTCCAACTCATGGTCTAGGACAGCTGTGAATGTGGCCCAACACAAATTCGTAAATTTTCATAAAAGATTATGAGTTTTTTTGTGTGATTTTTTTTTTTGGCTCATCAGATATCATTAGTGTTAGTATATTTTACATGTGGCCCAGGGAAACCAAAACATTGGATACCCCTGCCTTAGAGTCTCCTTCATAATGCATAGGCTGTTGAGTCTTTAGGGTGTGGGTGAGGGTGAAAGGCAGGGGAAGGATAAAAGTGTGGAAGCTCATTGACCTTCTTTGCCCTTCATTTTGCCTTATTGGGAATTATCAGATTCAAGCACTGGACACTATATTTGTGAACTAAATCTATTGCTTATTAAAATTGCCCCCCAAAAGCCAGAGAGATTGACTGTTCTTCTCTTGGCACACACCACCAAACCGTAAAGGACTTTACATTCAGTAGCTTGTCTCCCTGAAAGTGGCTGACAAGAGAGCCTGATACATGATACCTGCTTCCCTCCTCTTCCCTCCTCTTCCCCCAAACCTCCTCTCACAGTGGGTAGGCAACGTGGACAAGTTGCAGGAAGAAGTCTCTAGTCTTGATTTTGAATTTGATTTGTGTTTCAGATTGCTGGGCGGATCGATCCCCACTTCATGAAGCTGCGGCTCAGGGGCGCTTACTGGCCCTTAAAACTTTAATTGCACAAGTAAGTGAACCGAAGACTTGATCCTTCATGCTTATGCTATAATTATGCATCATTCTTTATTAGCTTTGGCTGTAGCAGAAGTCTGGCTCACCCTATCCAGGTCCCACCATTGCCATTCTAGGCATGTATGCCCTCTCATGCATCACCATCTATTCTTCCTGCCTCCCCTTTCCTGGAGAGCTCCTTCATTTTCTGCCCAGTTCCCTCCTTTTCCTCTGGGCCTTCCTTTACCTCATAGGAAATTTTCCTATGAGGGATGATAGAGAGTGCTCTCAAATGAGTGTTGCATTAACTTACCTAATGCTCTTCCAGCATCCATTAGCACCAACAGTCCTGAAGTTAAATTACTCAGCTATTGCTGCCTAACAAATGACCTGAAAACATAATGGCAGAAAACAACATATACTTGGATTTTTATGGTTTCTGTGGGCCAGGGAGCAGAAGGTGATTAGCTAGGTGATTCTGGCTCTGGATCTCTCACAGGCTGCCACATGTCAGCCAGGGCTGCAGTCATCTCCTGGCTCAAGTAGGGCAGGATCTGCTTTCAAACTCACTCACATGGTTGTTGAGAAATCTCAGTTCCTTGCCACATGAGCCTCTCCACAGGGCTATGTCATGAGATGGCAGCTGGCTTCCCCCAGAGAGAGCACAAGAGGTACCTAAGAAGGAAGTCAAAGTTGTTTTATAACCTCATCTCCGCAGTGACATTCTGTCACTTCTGCCATATTCTACTCATTAGGTCTGAGTCAATAAGTCCAGCCCACACTCAAGGGGAAGGAATTACACAAGGGAGCCAATGCCTGGTTTCTGGGATTACTGGGTGCTATCTTAGAGGCTGCATATCCCAATGATACACTATTTCAAGATCAAGCATTAAAGTAGGTTGACAATGGGTAAATCTGACTCCGTAGGAATATTTATTGAAGTCTTAGTTATGAAGGCTACTTTATTTATATTTATGACTACATCCCCAGCACCTTGAACAATGAGTAGGGGCCTAGTAAATATTTGTGAAATGATGAATGAAAGTGTGCAGGCTCCATTTACTTTGTATGTTTTAGAGTCTACATGTATACAGAGGAGGTGAGCCATTATATCTTTCTTCCACAACTTGGCAATCATCTGGCTTTCATGCCATTTTGAATTTAAACAGCTGGGTATACTGTCCCTCCCTCCCTCACTCCCTTCCTTCTTTTCTTCCTTCCTTCTGTCTTTCTCTCTCTTTCTTTTTTTCTCTCTCTCTGTGTTTTTCACTTATGCATTTTTTGATTTCTCCTTTATGAGTTGTGTTACTTCTTTAAAAGGAGAGGCAAAAGGAAATCAGCATTGCCAGCAATGATCAAATGAACTTTGTACCTGATTTTATCACTTGCTTATTTATTTTTAAGTACTTTAAATTTGATGTGATTTATTATTTTAAATATATAATATATTCACATAGTTCAAAAATAAAAATTATCTAAAAAGGTGGACTGGCCGAGTGCGGTGGCTCACAGCTTTAATCCCAGTACTTTGGGAGGCCGAGGTGGGTGGATCACCTGAGATCAGGAGTTCAATACAAGCCTGGCCAACATAGTGAAACCCTGTCTCTAGTAAAAATACAAAAATTAGCCAGGTGTGGTGGCGAGTGCCTATAATCCCAGCTACTTGGAAGGCTGAGGCAAGAGAACAGCTTGAATCCAGGGTGTAGAGGTTGCAGTGAGCCCATATCACACCACTGCACTCCAGCCTGGGTGAAAAAGTGAAACTCCATCTCAAATAAATAAATAAATAAATATAAATAAAACGGTGCACAGTGAAAAGTCTTGCATTCACCTCTTGTCTCTCAGTTTCCCACCTCAATATTTTTATTGGCATATTTTTAATAGACTTTTAATTTTTGGATAATTTTAAAGAAAAGTTGAAAAGGATAGATAGTTTCCACATACACTATACCTTTACCAAACTTCCTTTAATGTTGACATCTTACATAGCTGTGGTACATTAGTCAAAAATAAGTTAATATTGATACAATACCACTGACTAAACTGCATGCTATTGAGATTTCACCAGTTTTTCCTCTTTTGTTTTCCTATTTCTGTTCCAGGATCCCACATTGCACTGACTATACTTAATAAGCATGTTAGCTTCAATAATGTCATTAAATGTGTAAGGGGCATTCTTTATGGAAAAGTTCAACTTTTTCTTGTATACCCCTACTTCTTTACCCTTACACACTAGTACAAAATGTATTTGTCTACTTTTATAAACTTGGTTTTGCATTTAGATAGTGTGGTTAATGTGAGTAAAACATTAAGCCAATGTGAGTAAATGTGAGTAAAATATTAACCCAAGGTTCAGGAGCTCTTGGTTACAATGCTGGCTATCACTGACATCCAGTCTTAAAAAGTATTTGAACATTCTACTCCTCCATTTTCTCATGTACAATTGAGTGATCTACTCTAGGTGATCTTTCGGGTCTGTCCAGTATTACATTTCTACAATTTCAGGGATTCTGAAGTTTTACACCATAACAGTTTTTTTCTAGCACACTTCTGCCACCTTGTGGACCAACCTGTTTTTCTTATTTTCTCAAAAGGAAAAGACTTTTTCTAACTCTTATTAGATGCCCAGTTTGAAATAGGTAGCACAGACCTAGAGTAATGGTATCATATTCAGGACATGAAAATAGACAGAATTCAGGAGTCAAAAAGAGGCCTTATGATGAAGGAACAGACAATTATGAGAAATCACAGCTGCTGACCACAGCAATGACACAGCCAGAGATCTGACAGAAGATGGTGGGCACATAAGTTGGAGTTTGGGGTTCAGGGTCATGGCACTGAATTTTGGAAGCTTTCAGTGGGTCAGTTACAAGGCAGAGGATCAAAAGCAGGACTCAGCTGGGAAGGACAGGCCAGGGACCTAATTCCTTTTATAAATGAAAAATAAAATTCGAAGACCTCCCAATCATCTGAATGTACCCCTCCTCTCAGCCAGGGCATTCTAAAGTTAACCTGAAAAATTGGTTCAGGCCATGACAGGAAAGGAGGGTTGAACATGCCTTATTATGCACTCCTCCCTTTTGAAATTCAGGAAAAGATGACCAGAATTTAACATCAACACAGGCCTTAATTCTGATAAGAAACATTTACAATCTATTCTCTCTGAAGCCTGCTACCTGGAGGCTTCATCTACATGATAAAACTTTGGTCTCCACAACCCCTTATCATAACTCAGATATCCATTACTATTGATAATAACTCTTTCAATCAATTGCCAATCAGAAAATCTGTGAATCTACAATCTGGAGCCCCAGGTTCCCACTTTGAGTTGACCAACCTTCCCAGGCCAAAGAAATGTACGTCTTACAAGTATTTGATTGATGTCTCATGTCTCCCTAAAATGTATAAAACTAGGCTGTGCCTGACAACCTTGGCACATGTTCTCCAGATCTCCTGAGAGCTTGTCACGGGCCATTGGTCACTTATATTTGGCTCAGAATAAATCTCTTCAAATATTTTACAGAGTTTGACTCTTTTTGTCAAACACTTTTGCAGATAGAATGTGATCATCAGAGGGAAGGAAATGATAAGAGCCATGTTGTTAAAATCAGGTTATGAAGTCAGAGTTGTCCAGCAGCTAGGCTGACCTTGTCATCTGTCACATGGACTCCAGGACAAGGAAGGCGATGCATGGTAGTATGGAGAGGGAGAATGTGTTAGGATGGGGTGGAGACACTAATATCTGGGTGAGGAAATGAAGATTAGGAGAAGCCCCCTAGCCCCAGACTCTAGGACTTCAGAGACCTCTGCACATAGTGAAGTCATGGCCGAAGCAGTGCTGCTACTACACAGCATATGAATCCCAGGAGCACAGTCTACTTAATCTTAAGCCTGGGAGTTATTGTTTTGTTCCAGATAAAATCTGACCTCCTGAACTTGTCTGCACTCCAGCATCTGTACCTCATACCTACTGCTATTCACACCCACAGCAGGCCCATGCCAGCCTGTTCCTAGACTCATAGTGACATCTCCGTGGCTCTCCTTACTTTGGTCTTACATCCATACTCCTGCAATCAACCTTCCATGCTGCTACCAGTAGGCTTCTTAAAAGGCTAATCTATTAGCTCCAGACCCTCTGCAGCCTAGCAGACTTCATAGGTGCTCCATTTCCTCTAAGACATGTACTCCCTGTTTGGAAATCAAGGCCTTTCATGACCTAGCTCCAGCTTACTATCCTCCTTCATCTCCTCCCATCTCCTGTTTCTTCTTTCTGTGGGTTCTTCCTGTTCCAGAAATCCAACTGTGGCCTTGCCACAGGAAGCAACAGGAAGCAACAGGAAATAACTTCCTGTTGCTTCCTGAATTTGCAGTTTCTATTCTCTCCTAATGGCATACTCTTTCTTGGTCTTCCCAGCTTGAAGCATTTTATGCTTCAAGTTTTAGGTAAATACTACCCCATTTGCAATGTTTTTCTTACTCCCGAAGCCAGATTCAAGGATATCCTATGCTCCCAAATGAATTTTGGACATACTTCCAGTATAGCAATATTCTTGCTCTTTTGTCTTTCGTTTTCTGCCTTCCCAGTAGACTCTGGGAGAAGAGAGACCCATATCGTAAGTTTTGAAGACCCAGCTCCTAGTACATTACCTGCTCCAGAATACAGAATTAACATTTTTTGGGTAAATGAATGTGAGATTCTCACATGCTGTGTTGTTTAGACTCCCCTGATCATAACTTCTACTTCTCTCTCTATGGTGCTAATATTATACCCACAGACTGTGAAAATGTCAGAAACATGTGAAACAACATTGCCTTTTTTTTTTTTTTCTCGAAATGTAGTCTCATCACCCTTTTGCCCTGGCTGGGTGGCAGTGGGGGGCTCTTGGCTCCCTACAACCTCTGCCTCCTGGGTTCAAGCGATTCTCCTGCCTCAGCCTCCCGAGTAGTTAGGACTACAGGTGCACACCACCATGCCCAGCTAATTTTTGTATATTTAGTAGAGACGGGGTTTCACCATGTTGGCCAGGATGGTCTCAATCTCTTGACCTTGTGATCCACCTGCCATGGCCTCCCAAAGTGCTGGGATTACAGGTATGAACCACTGTGCCCAGCCAACAGCATTGCTTTCATTGCTATCACAAATGCAGCATTTCACTCTCTTCTGCTGGGCTTGGTGGCTTGCACTTGAAATCCCAGCTACTCAGGAGGCTGAGGCAGAAAGATCACTTGAGGCCAGGAGTTTGAGACCAGCCTGAGCAACATAGTGTGACCTCAGTCTCTAAAAAATAAATAAACTTGCTTCTCTCTAAATTATAGGGTGTCAATGTGAACCTGGTGACAATTAACCGGGTGTCTTCTCTCCACGAGGCATGCCTTGGAGGTCATGTGGCTTGTGCCAAAGCCTTACTGGAAAATGGTGCGCATGTGAGTACTGCCCCTGCCTACTTGGGTCTGTCTGGTCAAGCGCATCTGCTAATGTCTAAAGATAGTTTACCTTCCTGATGGCTTATCCACTCTGGGTATGGGCTGGGCTGGTTCTATCCATGTCCATATTCCATCATTCAGGCTACTCCTCTCTTCAGCTTATACCCCTGTGTGTAAGTATTCAGACATGGCGATTTACAGGAATCTTTCAAAACTGTGCTATTGACCTTAAGAAATCTTTATTGTTTTCTTTATGCATTCATCTGTTGATGGACACTCGGGTTGCTTCCAAGTGTTAGCAGTTGTGAATAGTGTTGCATCAGACATGGGAGTACAGATACCTCTTTGATGTGCTGTTTTCCTTTCTTTTGGGTATATGCCCAACAGTAAGATTGCTGGATCATATGGCAGCTCTATTTTTAGTTTTCTGAGGAACCTCTACACTGTTCCCCATAATGGTTGTACTACTTTATATTCCCACCAACACTGTATGAGGCTTAAAAACAAAATTGTAAAGAACAATAGAAGACACTGTTAATTCAACACCTTACATGAACAACTATTTTAATTGAGCAAAATTATCATAATAAATGTGCTTTTAATAAATAATAAATTAGGGGAAATCTACAGAATTGAACTTTATCTTATTTAAAATATATCTCCTAGCATTTTTCAAAGGGTGACTGAGGTGCTGTATATAATACAGATATCAGAATAGAATCATAAAATCACAACTTCTAAAAATCTTCTGTGTTTAGTTGTCGGATGCTCTTTGTTTCTAATTTTATTGTTTAATTCAGTCCTTGCATTACTTACTTATTTTATTTTAAGACAGAGTCTGGCTCTGTCACCCAGGCTGGAGTGCAGTGACACAGCTCACTGTCACCTCTGCTTCCCCGGTTCAAGTGATTCTCTTGCCTCAGCCTCCCAAGTAGCTGGGACTACAGGCACATGCCACCACACCCGGCTGATTTTTGTATTTTTAGTAGAGATGGGGTTTCACCATATTGGTCAGGCTGGTCTTGAACTCCTGACCTTGTGATTCGCACTCCCTCAGCCTCCCAGAGTGCTGGGATTACAGGCATATGTTTAACATATAGTAACACATAGGCGTGAGCCATTGAGCCCGACCACATTATTTATTTTATGAGCTGCAATGTTTTTAAGTGCTTAATGACAGTTTTTAAAATTTTATATGGAAGTTGGGTTTCTACATGAAGAACTGAATATAAAAGTCTTCCTTGTGAAAGCTAATTTTTCTGATGCCATTGTGGTCATGCATTTTTTTTTTTCTTTTTCTTTCTTTCTTTCTTTCTTTTTTTTTTT